ACATAATTAAACCCAGTCAGTTTTAAAGTGAAGCACTGTAATTACTGACCAAGATGTATCTACCCAATGCCAAAAAAATACAGGTTGTTTTGGATTATGTTGATGTCACAGTGTTTAAAAATTATGACTTTTCTGGGCCGGCCGCTGTGGCCCATGCCTGTAATCCCAGCACTTTGGGAGGCCGAGGAGAGCGGATCACGAGGTCAGGAGATTGAGAACATCCTGGCCAACACGGTGAAACCCCGTTTCTACCAAAAATACAAAAAAATTAGCCGGGCCTGGTGGCGGGCGCCTGTAGTCGCAGCTGCTCTACTTGGGAAGCTGAGGCAGGAGAATGGCATGAACCTAGGAGGCGGAGCTTGCAATGAGCTGAGATCGCGCAGCTGCAATCCAGCCTGGGCAACAGAGCGAGACTCCGTTTAAAAAAAGAAAAAGAAAATTATAACTTTTCTGGAATATTCTCATAGTTTTACATATTATATTATAGATTAAGCAGACACAAAGTTGGCCTGACAATGAAATTAGCAAAACATAGTCTTAAAATTTATTATGATAAAAACTATTGAAACAAAATAATTTAAATGAAAACGTTTTAAGTCACATATGGAGAGCCATCACTTCCATAATCTTTTCAAAAAGGTTGTACAATATTCATAACCAAGATTATTAATATGATACATTTTTAAATCAAATAAAGATGGGTGTAATCCTAGGTAAATCATACAAATTGTTTAATCTAGTTCAAGCCAGTTTAATTTGATTAGCCTCATTTTCTCCAGGTATAACATGGCAATTGCAACACTTACTTCAGAGGGATGTTAACATAAACAATAATGATTAAGTGTTAATAAACATTTCTGAGGTTTGGCCATGTGTCAGACACTGTGCTAAAGCACTTTACATATACACCATTAGGATTATATAAGCTGATGCACAAAAAGATATAGAGAAGCATTTCTGGCATATGGTAAGCACTAAGTTATTAGTTTGTTTCACAAATAAATACAAATATAAATAAGGTTAAATAAGAAAAAAACGCTGCCTTTAGTGAACACATATACTAGTGGGGAGATAGACCTATAAATGGATAAGAACACCACCATGTAGTAAGTGTTATTATGTTGATAAAGATTAGAGGCAGCACCGAGGAGGATATAATCAGACAATGGTACTCTAAGGTGCCCTTTTCTGTCTTTCCTTCTCCTCCTGCCTTCTCTTTTTCTTCATTTCTTCCTGCCACCAATCCATTACCTAAACAAATGTCCAAAGTTGTGAGTGAGTAGCAACTTTACAGCAGAAGATGAAAGAACATTCCATTTCCATTTCCCTTCTTTCCCATATCAAGCTGCCATTCCAAAGCTGCTATAAATTGGCATAAGCAGGATAATTATTTAGCTCTTTCTGTCTTTCATTTAGTTCTATATTGCTGTCTATTATATTGTGGGTAAAAGCTATGTCAGGAAGATTGTGTATTCGAGCTAATAGAGCAATGGTGTATTATGTGGTGAAAAATATCTTATAATGAATGAAATTAGCATCTACAAAGAATGTCATAAAGAAATTGGTTAGCAAATGAAAAACTCTGTTTACATCAGTGATCCTTTACCTTTGACGCTAGTGTTAATGTTCAACGTTCCATTTTGGGCATTGTATACAGTCTCCTTGCTATCTAAATGTTTAGAGAAAGGCTGATGTCAGGCAACATAACATAATCGCTTATCATAGAAATGCTCTTTATATTATAAGAGAAATAAATAAGGGTGAGTAATGAGATTCTAACATTTATTCAGCAGCTATAATGCTCTAGATACTCATTTAAATGTCATTTCATACAACGTTATGTTTGATCTTCCCAACTACCTTTAAAATTTGGTGAATGAGTAAGTAAGAAAATTTATATTCTCAGCACACTATTCTTTTCTTTCTTTCATCCATCATTTTATTCCAAAGAAAAGAAAACACTTAGAACTCTGCCCTGGAAGCAATTGACTTTTCTGTCCCAGATTATGCTATCTACCTTGACGAAATCAGACAAAAGCATATTATTCTGTTTTTGCTTGTTTGTTTTTTGGTTCTCTTGACTCTCTGTAGACCATATCAGTTGCTTTCTTTCTGTTCCCATATTCCTCATCCCTTCACTAATATCACCTCAGGTAAAGAGTTCTCAGTGCAACTTGGATATCTTTCTAGAAGTATAGTTTTCAAACTTTAGAAGTATCATTTTTATTATGCATAGTTTTATCTGGGGAGTTTGTTAAACATTCAGGTTCTTGGAAGACATCTCCAGAGATTCTGATTCATTTGACAAAGGGTGGAGTCATGGAATCTAAAATTTTGGACAGTACTACAGTCTCCATCTCCATTAACATAAGAGGCCCCTAGTTCTTGCAGAAACATCATTCTAGACTGGATAATCCTCTCCTCAACTTCCTTATCATCACATTCTGTAGCTTCTTTAATGTCACCACGACCAGGTTATTGGTCTTTCTCTCCAAAAATGTCTAACCGTTATCCTCAGTAAATTTGATAGCCATTTTGATGAGCCTTCTAATACTCTAGTCTCAAAATTCTTCAAATACCTTTCAATAAAAATCATTAAAAGCTACATTTCAGATTTTGGAATCATCCTAAACTGTGCTAATACTTTACATTTTAATTTTGAAATAGTCCTCTTCATAAAAACTTTCATTCTTTCTAACTTTTAATAAGCTATTTGTTACTCTAACTTTATGATAAAGGCTTCTGTTCTTTAAATTGTCGTTATTTATCTAATCAATCATGATAATATAAATTTCTAATTATTCAATGCTTACGATGTGTTGGGCCCTGTACTTAGTATTTAATTTACCTCATTTTGAAAATATCCTGTGAGGTAATTATTATTCACCTCATTTTATAGATGGAAATGAGGATTAAGGAGATTAAAAAACATATCCATGGACATACAGCTTATAAATAGAGGAAGCTGTATTTAAAACCATGTTTGTATGACTCCAAAGTTCTTACATTGATTCGCATAGCTTTCTTACTCAACTCAGATAATATGGTGAAGACATTATTTTTTCTCACTTTTCCTAAACTTTATATGGTACTCATTCATTGTTGCCTACACACCTTTACTTAACTATGCCTTTTATCTATAATGATTCAAAAAATCAATGAATACATCAGGTCCTAAATCTTGTTTTTGTAAGCAGGGTATAGTAGGAAGAGCACTATCTATGGAGTCGGGCAGACCTTGACATAAGTCACATTCCAGAATTTACTGACCATGTGATTTGACAACTCCCAATGCCTTGTCTCTAATCCTTAGTTTATCATCCACTAGAGTTAATATTATTGGGCACACATGAAATGACAACAATCTACATATGATAGATAAATAATGTCTTGTATTTGATGTATCTGGAACAACACTTGAATATGAGCTGGCACTGAACAAATTCTGGACTGTAAGCTCCCTGACACAGATTTCTGCCTCTCACCCCCAATGCTACTGAGAAAACAGGTCACATTTGTTGCATTTAGTAGAAACATAGGAAAAGTCCATTATGGCAGTTGTCAAGACAGGTTGTAGTTGTTGATGTGGTATGAGAAAGAACCTTACATCTTAAATCTATTGTTAAGCCTAATATTCAGGTTTGGATACATCTAGTTTAAGCTAACCTTGAACTATTTGTGCAATACTTTCTAAATTAAAAAAAATACTAAATAACTGAGGCTTTGACCTTTAAAAGTTGAGGAAAATTTCTTCAATGTAATCACATTTCATTTAGCATATTTATTTAAGTCAATAAGAGCTGGATGTTTATGATTAAGTTCTATATTCATATTTTTCCAACAAAACACATACATACTTATAATTCTCCTATACTAATGTACCAGTTATATTTCTATAGGAATTTCAAATGTTGTTCCATATCTCAGCATGTGATACTACTTGCAAAAGTCAGATCAGTGGTATCTCATCACAAGTGTCACTGTTGAGTTCATCATCTTGGGCCAAACTATAGAGAGAATCAATTATTTTTTGAACCATAAGTTGAACACTTGTGAAAGCCTTGTTAAATCCACTGACAAATTTCATATAAACTATATTATACATGGATGATTTTATTTGCCAGTTATGTGATATTTATATGTTTACGGTATCTAAAATTTTGTTTTAAAGATATGACATTTGGTCATTGCTTTACACTTGTTTCCTAAGTAAAATAGAGGGAGTGATGAGTGCATTACGTAACACAGCTGTAAATGAACATGACTAATTGGCATATTTGGAACTTTTCCTTAGGCAGGCAGGTAACTTTCTTGACCCTCTAATGGGCATCTAGTTTCTCAATGTCAGATTCAATTTAACCAGAAGGCTTTTTGTGTATATAAGGGTCTTGCTCCTCTTTTCTGAACATTTTGTGTCTTCCAAGGTTGTGACACTGTCTTAGATTATTTTTCTCTTGTTATCATGGAACAAAACCTACTGAAATCCTGAAAGCAATATTATATGTTGTTATATGATTGTTCAGGGGCAGAATGATACTCAGTTCCATTAAGGGACAGCCTTTCAATGTCAAGAGACCAGAGGCTTTGTTAAAATTGGACTTACCATCATAGTTCAAAGAGAACAATGTGGCCAATATGCAACCACTATGTGGGAAGAAAAATCTTGCTTTTCATTGCTGGCATGGTTTACAAGAATGATCTAATTCCAGAGAAGATTATTGAGATCAACAATAGCTTGCATTCAAAGGCTAGCCCTTAGTTTCTTATTTTTAAACTTTAATGATGGCATATTACAAGTCATATTTTTAAGGAGGTGAGACATTATGTTTACATTTTGAGAGTGATATGAGTGGTCAAAAAGAGATAATCTGACATCCTAAGGCTTAGAACATGACTGCTTTTGTCTGAGGTTCTACAGGTTTTAAAAATACACAGATACTTTAAAAAATAAGGTGAATACTGTAGACACTTATACAAAGAAATAACTCTTACAACTTTACCTAAATATATGCCTTAGTTCTGTCAGTTCTTTTTCCTTGATCTGCAGGTCATCTTCTAATCTTTCTATTGTGATAACATATGATTCACTGACTTTTTTCTTCCATTCATCTAGTAAAGAAGAACAAATGAGATGGATTTATAGTTGTGTTTTGCAAAATGTAGACACAGATCATAATATACAAGTAATCAAAACTGTTTTTATTCTAGAATTTACAATACTTAATTTAAATTACTGATTGTGAGTTTAAAATGCAGATGTTTATATTTAAAATGCAATCATATTGAATTGTAGTAATTAAGAATCCATTTGTTATTGGATAATATATTTACATAGAAAAATATATTTGACTTATTTCATTTGATTTTATTGCATTTTAATTACAGCAATTTCTAGTTGCAAGACGGTTTTTAGGTTTTAAATACTAGATACTTAAGATATAATTCTAAAATCCCTACATTCAGCATTATTCCAAGTTTTTTTCTGTAACATTATACCAAGGAACTAAAGTAATATTTTTATAAGAAATTTATTGTTTCCTATAAAGATCTTCAGAAAAAAAAAATTTGAGTTCAGATAGTTTTTCAAAGCCTTTCACATAACATGCTGCCTTATCTTCTGTATACAAATTAACACATATTCCAATGAGTTGTTAGTTATCAGTAACTGTAATTGAACCATGTTACATTTAAGGAAATAAGAATAATTAGAATAATTACCAGTACAAGTTTGGGTTGGTCTAGATTTATAATTTCCCATTTATTATAAGTTTCTTCTTTTCTCCAGGGCAGTTCTTCAAGTTATAAGATTCCAAGTTCAAGTGCAGTGACAGCCCAGTTGAAAAATACTTTGATAGTCTGGCTAAAAATAAGCCCAACTGCCAAATGGAATGTCATGCAACAATGACAAAGAACAAAATCGTGTGTGCTTTCAAGGGTGAAATCATAAAGGGAACTAATCAGTCTGTTTAAAAGAACTGTATCAAAAATAAATAGCAAATGTTTCAATAGGATTATTTGCTTCCATCAATTATCTACCCGTACATACTTTCATGGACCATTTATTTAACAGATAAATCTAGAAAGTTATTCAGTTACATCTGAACTTCACAAAAGAGCTATTAAAACTACCCAGACCTTCTTTCGAGATCATTTTCTCCTAAGCCAAAATAATGGCAGTTGGTAAAGAGTAGTAATAGAATGTGTCTACATAAATAAATAAATAATAAAAACTCATAATCTCTGGCATATAACTAATAGAAATGAATGTAAATTTGGCCTATATAAGAGCTACATAATTATGTTTGTATGAAGAAATTCTCAACATAGACCAAGATTTATACTGTTGTTGAATATTCTGACCATAAGAATCATAGATAAGAATCTAAGACATTAAGTTCTACAAATAGCAATTCATAAAATAATAAATGACAAGAACAATAAGATTAAGAAGATTGAGCATTTGCTATGTGTCAGACCCTAGTCTAAGTGCTTTACATATATTTCATTATTTAATCTCATGCAGTGCTGCTAGGTAGATATTATTCACAAATTATGGATGAGAAAACACAGAGTTGCTAGTACGCTGGAAGTCTGGAATCAATTATGACTATGTGACTCTAACATCCAAGCTAGATATTATTGATTAGTCTTTCAGAATTTCTCTTTCATGCACCTTCCATTTACTTTATGGGGACATTTCTCTTTGTGTGCATATTGTATGCATATTTCTACTGATCTAAAGAACCCAGGCTATGATGGAGAATAAATGGGAAACCCAGAAAGAAAACATTAAATTTTTCACTGTATATTTATTTCAGATAATCTTCTTATACCTAGAAAGTATAAACTTTAATCTTCAGATTCACATCCAGAGGATATAGCTTTAACTTAACAGATATGGATTTCATATTTTCTATAGTTAAATGTTCAGACAACTCTCTTTTTGAATAAATGCTTAGGCAAAGTTAGGATTCAGCACATCTTTTGCTCAGCAAAAGTAATCAAAGTTTCAGAGGTAAGGCTTCCAGACTGATAAGATACAGTTGGCGCATCAGGTATCTGGCTTCATAGACACTTTGTCCTCACCTGGACATATTCTCCTTTTCCCTTTTTATCAGTACATGCCTACCACAGCTGTTAATACTTGCTGTACTGCAGTGGCATCTAGTTACCTTGGTCCATACACTCTACATTCTCCTTGTTTGAAGGCCAGACATCTTCAGTTCCACCAGCTTTCTCTAAGCACTTATGTGACCCCCATTTTCTCAGTTTGGAAAGTCTTTGTTTTGTTCAGGGACCTTCCTGCTTAATCTCTTCTTTCTTCCTTATCTTGAAGACCATACTGGATAGCCTTCTTTAAAAGGCTTGCAATCCCCCAGGGCTTTACCTTGGGAAATAATGCACCAGCTCTTTCTCCTCTTGGTTTCTTAAAATAGTCATGGTTTCTATACTCTGAATCCAGAGGGACAAAGATGGGAGCCTTCTAGAGGACAACTATATTTTTCTTCATCTCTTTTCTTATTTGTCTCTAATATCTCAGATCTTCCATCAATGTGTGTGTGCGTGTGTGTGTTTGTGTGTACGTGTATCTTTTCTACATATGGAGGAAAAATAAGCTCTTATATCATCTTCCATTGTGTTTCTAATTTCCTGCTTGGGACACAAGTCTGATGTACTGCTTTTTAGAATTTTTCCTTTTGCTTTTCAAGAATAATTTCATTCTCTTAAAAAGCCGTTTTACAAATGAAAGTTTTGGCTTTCAAAGGTGTGATTTCTGCTACGAGTTTGAAAATCCAATCAGGAACTCAGTTGAACTCCCCCACATTCTAACGCAATACATTTTGCTGGAAAAAAAATGGAAGGATAGCAATATAAGAAATGCAGAAAATTACTCAAAATATTACCCAAAATATTAACCATTATTGAACTATAACTGTTTCCTGGTTTGAAAGAAACAATCTTTATCGATAAGCCCTTCTTAAGAATTTGGATCTAGGTAATGGTTTGAGGTACTAGAGTAATTTTTTCTGGGTACCTTCAGCCTGATGAAGAAATGCTGGAAAAAGTAAATGGTCCAGGATAATATCCTTGCATTCCTTTTCCAAAGAATGTTGGAAAGAAACAACATAGAATCAAAAAATATTTTCCCTGATACTCAGTACATTTCTGTAAAAATTACTTCTTTCTAATAAAGAGTTGGCCACATACTCTAACTTGAATCCTACTCTCCCCAGTCCCGAGACGTCCAAAAGTGGAGAAAGCATGTTATATCATACATTATCAAAAACACAACTTGATTACAAAAGCAGTCTGCTTTCAAACTTTAGTGAGGGTAGGCAACATGAGGAGCTTTGTTTAAAAAAATAGAAACCTGGGCTCCATCCCCAGAAATTCTGATTCAGTAGATCAAGAGTAGAGTCCGGGAATCTGAGCTTTAACAAGTTACTCTGATGATTCTAATGTAGACGCTACATGGAGCATCATTGAAGAAGCACTATTTTAAGGTTCCTTAAAGTGAGATGCCTACTTAACAGAAATTTTTTTTTACCTTTGAATTTCATACAAGAGAAAAGAGATAAGTAGAATAAAAACAAAAGAAAGATTACTTCAGATTCTCAAAGAGTTCTATCCTGTGGTAATTCCTGGGGCAATAAATGATTTGGCTGTGCAAGTATAGTCTCATATTCTAAAAGTGATTCACAAAAAATTGAAACAACCAACATATTCCTTCATAAGTGAATGGAGAAACAAACTGTGGTATACCCAGAATATGGAAGATTATTCAGCAGTAGAAAGAAAGGAGCCATGAAAAGTCATGGAAGAACTTTAAATGTATATCACTAAGTGGAATAAGCCAGTCTGATAAGGCTACATACTGTGTAATTTCAACTATATGACATTTTGGAAAAGGCAAAACTATAGAAACAGTAAAAAGATCAGTGGTTACACGGGTAGAGGAGAGAGAGGAAGAGATGAGTAGGTGGAGCACAGGGAATCTTTAGAGTAGAGAAATATTCTGTATGATACTGTAATGGTGGATACATGATATTATTCAAAACTCGTAGAACTACACAACACTAACATAAACTATAGACTTTAGTTAAAATCATATATCAATATTGGTTCATTAATATTAACAAATATGCTATATAAATGTTAATAAGAAAAATTGTGTGTGTGTAGGGGGAGTATATAGTAACTGTACTTCCTGATCCGTTTTTTTTATAAACTTAAAACAATTCTAACAAAATATTAATTTAAAAAATTATGGAAAAATATAAAACAAATAATGCAAAAATAATTCATTCACAAGAGCATTTGAAGTATTCAAGGAAATTTAATAATTTATAAAGAAAAGCCAATTCAAATACATGATTAATACTAAGGTTTCTTTCTTTTATGCTTGCTCGTTTCTTCATTAGAAAATGTCAGAACACATTTAGTAAATATTATTTCTTCAACTACTTTGTTTCATCTACATTTGATATTCTACTGAATTGCCTAAATCTAGTTTTAATGCCTCTGTCTTTTCAACTGATTTATCAGACCACTTCTGCATACAAATAGTTATATTCTAATACTCCTTCAATAAGCTTACTTATGTTCTTTCTGCATTACTTTATTTGGGATTCATATGATTTATTTATCCCAATCTACACTTATACATCTGCTATTTATATTTATTTTATACTGATTTCTTCATAAAAACTTAAAAGGATGCTTTCAAAATGAAAAACATAAAAATTGACCTTGACACTTCTACCTTTATGGTTCCAACAGAGAAATGATAAAGAAAATGTATCCCATGAAATCAAACTAATGCACTTGGAACAGTTATTAGCACATTTAGGGGTTGAATTAATTTATACTTTGACAATTTCTTCATTGTATATGAGTCATTATTATATTTCCATGTTTTTGGGAAGCATAGAGTTTCAATGTGTTGCATCTGGTTGACAAATTAATCGTTGCTTTAAACATAAGAAGCTCAAATTACTAGTTTATATTTATTTTTTTCTCTTATTTTTAATAAAGATTAAATAATTTGTGTCGAAATAAAATTATTTTAAAAAGAAATTGACTGTTGCCTAAGATGCATACAACTATTCAATTGCACACAATTATTTGATTTTCTTTTAAATAATGTGTTTCCGCATTTAAAAAAGCATAATTTGTAAGAGTCTTATTTATCAAACAATTTTCTTTTTTTTCCACTAGAATATCTAAGTTTATAGTATGTTGGATGATTTATAAATCACCATGATGAATCTGAACATGTTGAGGTAATATTCAGATTAATCCTCAAAAATGAGTAGGACTTGAGAATACATTATAATGAATATATAATATATTTATAATATGAAGAAATCAATGTCACAGTAATTTAAAGATGTGTTCTCAGTATCTTTAACTGCTAGAGTATATTTTAAAAAGGAATAAACAATATTGCTATTTCTGTGTCCAATAAAGTATAATAGCAAATGCAAAGATCTTAGTTTTTCCTGTAACTTCTTTTGTTGGTGGGTAAACATGAAATAAATTTGATTAAATAATCTAGATTAAATAGAGATAAGAGTCACATTTCTGTAATTGGCTAAAATTTCTTTTCCAAATTTATATGACATCTCTGAATTGTCAGTCTAGCTCTTTACAGATTGATGAGTCCATTTATCCATTTAAGAAATATGTGTTTATGTAACAAACCTGCACATTATGCACATGTACCCTAGAACTTAAAGTATAATAATAAAAAAAAAGAAAAAAGAAATATGCATTGTACCAAGAAATACACAGAGCTCATGGGGCCAGAGATGCATGAGTAAACAGGTAACTGCAATACAGTATTTGTCCTA